GTGGGTGTGCTTGGCAAGTGTACACAAATGAAGAGATTATGTATTTGATCAAACAAAACCCAAAAACCAAAATATACAGAAGCAAATCAATTAAGGAAAAAAAAACACCTCCTCAATTCAGATAAAATAAAACATTAGAACACAGGGAAAGCGGGTAGGAAAAATACACAGAAAAAGTTAATATTTTCAAATAGAAAGGCCAGAAATTTCCTAATGAAAAATATGCCCTAACCTAGACCCACAAAAATGAACCAAAGATATGCAAAAAGAAACTTAAAAAGTGGGTCTTGGGGTGAGCATTTTACACAGTACTTAACATACCACTTGAAACATCCACACAGGAATGCCTGTGTTCAAGTCTCATTCTGCTCCCAAGCTAGCTTCCTGCTAATACGCACTCCGGAAGGAACAGGTGATGGCTCAAGCAGGTGTTAGGTCCCTACTCCTACCACCCCCACGGGACAAAGTGAGCTCATTACTCCTGGCTTTGCTTTGTCCATCCCTGGCTGTTGAGATATCTGGGGAGTCAATCAACAGATGGTCATTTTTCCAAGTATCAAATACATGAGTATTTTTATAAGATGAACATTTATAAATCCCAAGATATGTCAATATATTTTTAATCTTCAAACAAGGAAATGTGGATTATGACAATTAAATATTTTTAAATCATTAGATAAATATTTAAAAAGCTTAAAATGTCAAAAGACGGATTCTCAGAATTTTTTATGATGTACTTATAAGTTGATTTCGATTGTTTCTTTTTATAAATACTAAAGGTATTGGTATCTTTTAACCTATTTACTGTATCTTTAGAAAATATATGCTTTCGTGAATCCAAAATATTGAAGAAATATATATTCAACATAAACATCATCAAAATTATTTATAAGATATAGACAGCTAAAAATCTTTTAAGTGTTTATTTAAAAGGCAGAGGGGAGAAGGAGAGTGAGAAAGAGAAAGAAAGAGAACAAATGAATCTCCTGTGCAGGGGTTCATTCCCAAAATGCCTGTTAATAGTTGGAGCTGAGCCAGGCCGAAGCCAAGAGCCTGGAACTCAATCTAGGTCTCCCACATGGAAGGCAAGGATCCGAGCACTTGAGCATTCACACACTGCCTTCAGGGATATCCATCAGTAGGAAGCTGGACCTGGCAGTGGAGCCAGCGCTCCAATCTGGGTCCTTAGGCAGAGTGTTAACCTTGGCTCAAACTGCTACCACCATAGATTTAAAACTTAATAATAATAATAATAATAATAATAATAATAATAATAATCTCAAAAACAGTCCATGCTATCCTTGGAATCCAGTGGCAAAGAAAGGAAGGAAGGAAGGATAGACGGATAAATCAGGGATCTGAGAGTTTAGTTTTTGTTTGTCCTTTGGAAAGAGTCCACATTTTGAAGGCTTATTGAGCCAGATTCTTTCCGTGCCCAAGTTATCCAGTAGGAGCCTTTCACAGTCCGCTTATTGCATTGCATACACAAAATAATTGCTTTATGTCACAGATCAGCTTCTGCAGAATTAAGGTAAACTGAACATTATATGCTCCAAAAGAGGCTCATGCATCATGGTTTAATAAAAACGATTACCTATTAAAATAAAAATAAAGGATTTTTAAACAGTTGAAAACCAATCAGTAACATGAGAAATGTTTGTGATGTTAAATGGAAAAACTAATGATATCAAATTATCCTGCCGTATAAATGGAGGAATGACCCAGGAAACAGAGAATCATGGTAGCAATGAGAATACTGGAGTATCAGGATTCTACATAAATACTTGCCTTCTCTTTTCCAAATCTCTATCATTTTTCATAAAAACTTTATATTCAGAAATTTATTTTTTAATCTTTTAAAAAATTATTTTGGAAAGGCAGATTTACAGAAGAGAGACAGAGAGAAAGATCTCCCATCTGCTGGTTCATGCCACAAATGACCATGTGGTCAGAGTTGAGCCGATCTGAAGCCAGGAGCTATTTTCAGGTCTCACACTGGGGTGCACTGTTCCAAGGCTTTGGGCCATTCTCTATTGCTTTCCCAGGTCACAGAAGCAGGGAGTTGGATAGGAAGTGGAACAGCTGGGACACGAACCACTGTCCATAGGGGATCCTGGTACTTGCAAGGCAAGGATTTAGCCACTGAATCATTACACCAGGCCCGAAAATGATCATTTAAAATTCAAAATAGTTATTAAAAGTTTTAATCTAAAGCATTCAATATATTTATAGGAGGACCAAAAATAGATGGTTCTTTTTCTCAAAATGAAAATGAATAAAAATTTAAAAGGAAACCAAAAATAAATATATACTGTGGTATACAACACATTTATAAACACACTTGATTATTATATTATTATTGAAATCATTTATATATATGGTCTCTGCTTGGAGACATGTATGACTTTGGCTTTTTTCAAGGACTCCTACCCTTGTCCCTTTTCATATTTATGAATTTTAAAAGATGTTTTTAAGAAAGGAAAACCTTGAATATGACAAATATGAAGTCATTGAATAATATAGCCTCATGGAATTCTATTATAAAAATATAATGTTTCCTGGATCAAAATATAAATTTGAAGGCTCAACAAAAAGGATTATAATTAAGAAAATAAAAATCAATTTGCCAGTAAAGGAAAAGAAACCATTTGTACAACTAGTATGAATTAAGCCAGCAAATTGTATGGAACCTGAATCACATCACAAAGTAGTTTCTCTGGTACAACTTAATGATGTAAAATCATCCCATGACCCTTTTCCTTTCAGCTATTAAAACACAATTCCTGCTAAAGCCCTGCTTGTTTAGTTACTATTTCAAGTGAACCAGCATGTATGCTTTTTCTTAACTGTTAAAATTGTGGGAAGCTGGTAGTGTGTTCAGCTAATTCCTTACACTGAGCTGCTTTTCCTTTCTCCATATCCGGAGGTATTTAATGCTAGGTGAAGTGATCTTAGTAACAAGGTATGTTTCTTAGGATATTCTTTCAGTTGTTTCAGATTTTCCTCAGTGTATAATCCCACACTGTTGCTCATTCAGAGGACAATTTGAATGGCTAACTGTCTTCATAACTTCCCAGATAAACTTCAAATGTACTTATGAAGTGTTAAGTGCAGCAATTTAACAGCACTTCTAATTCCTACTGGTCTTCATTTGGTTTGGACCTGAGCAACAGCTTTCAATAAACTGAAAGTCACGTGAAAGGGGGAAAGCTCTCCCTTGCTAACGGTTCATCAATGGAACAAAAAGTACAAGTGCACTGAGCAACTGGCACAGTCCTGAAATAGCTCTCAACTAAAAAGGGTAGCTCAGGGATGAACTTGCCTTCCACAGGGAAAATAAAGAAAGTACCAGCTCCAACATCCTTAACACATAACTTTATTTATTTTTTTTAAGATTTATTTATTTATTGGAAAGTTAGATATACAGAGAGGAGGAGAGACAGAGAGGAAGATCTTCCGTACAATGATTCACTCCCCAAGTGACCGCAAGGGCCGATGCTATGCCAATCTGAAGCCAGGATCCAGGAACTTCTTCCTTCTGGGTCTCCCACACAGGTACAGGGTCCCAAAGCTTTGGGCTGTCCTCGACTGCTTTCCCAGGCCACAAGCAGGGAGCTGGATGGGAAGTGGAGCTGCTGGGATAGAACCGGCGCCCATATGGGATCCTGGGCGTGTTTAAGGCGAGGACTTTAGCCGCTAGGCCACTGTGCTGGGCCATAACCCATCACTTTAAAGACAGCTGGGTCACCTAAACTTGGTCGAAATTTTCAACTGCTAAGACTGCAGTAAATTGTATCATTTAGTATAATGACTATTATTATGATAATTAACAGGCCTTTTGCAATATACTCATATCAGGGTTGGGATTATGGCAGAATTGATTAAACTACTGCCTGCAAGCCAGCATCTCATTTCAAACTCTTGGCTGCTTCACTTCCAATCTGGCTTTCTGCTAATGTCCCTGAGAAAGAAACAGAAGATGGCAAAAGTGATTGGGCCACTGCACCCACATGGGAGACCTGAATAGAATCCCAAATTAGGCTCCAATTGGACATGATTTCCAAAAGAAAATTTGGCAAAAGGTAAAAATCACACATACTAGAATGCATGCATACACACACACACACACACACACACACACACACACACTCACATGTCAAAAGTTTGGGGGTATAGAATTAAAAGACCAGTGTATTCACTCCAAAAACATGTGAAATTCTGTGATTTTTTTTCATAATATACTTTCCCCTAAGTTTTTTTTTTTAAATGATACAAGCTCCCACATGGTTTTCTAAAGTAAGTTTAAAAACACTGCAAGCTTTAAGGGATGTTACAAGCATTACCTCACCAGATTAACAAAGAAACCTAAAATGATCAATTCAGTGTATTTCTAGAGTGATGAGCAATAATTGGAGAACAAGTAAACCAAACGAGTGCTAGGTTCTGGGTTCTGCTGTTTGAGAAGTGGTTATTGTATAGATGGTGTACCAGAAAGACTTTCATCTCATTTTAACACTAACTTTCCTCTGTACACACAGCTTCAAATGAAAAGTAAGGATTTTGATGTCTCAATAACATCCATATATGACCTTCTTATCAAAATTTAAGAATGTGTCATTTTATGTACTATTTTTATTTTATCTGTGTAACATAATTATTACTCCAAAACAAGAAGCAAATGTCCTTTTTGTTTATGCCTGAATTAAGACAGTTATAAACATCTAATAACTTCAAAAACTTCATGAAAACAAAATTAAAACGTAAGATTATTTTGTTAGATAAAGTTTAAAAATCCATGTATATCAGGAATTTTCAAAAAGATCACAGCTGCATGTTGCAAAAAATTGCTGTTTCCAAATCATTTTGTTATATGAAAATTTATTTTTATTTGCATTTATCCACATATATTTTTAAGTGCCCTCATGTGATTCACTTCAACGTTATAAATGCTGTTTGATTATATCAGATATACTTTGTTTTTCTCTTACAGTTTATCTCACCTTGCACTTTGGACACTTCTGGGCATTTCTCTGTCCATGCTCAATTTCACTGGCCCAGTGACGCAGCAATTTGTCTCCTTTTTTGTACTCCTTGCAGTTAACACCTTCATGCCAAGGAGCGTGGCACTTAAAACACCAGACAAATTGGCAAGCGGGGCACTGGATCTGTGTGAGGAAACAACAATATTAAGAACTGGGAGATACTCGGTAAAACATCTCAGAGGATTAGAATTGTAACGGTAGGGCAGAGTGATGAAAACTTACCCTTTAAAACACCTGTCCTTGTGCAAGAACAAAACTGTGATAAGGCATGAACACTGTTATTAAAGAAGGAGAATTATTTGGCAAAGCCAATCTGGTTATTTGCAGACACTGGAATCAAATGATTGGGACATTCTGGAAATCAATTTGGCTTTAAGAAAATCTAGACTATAGCACAGGATAAAACCCGAGGGACCTCAAAGTTCCAAATTCATGCCCTCTGACTTTCCTTTAACCAGCCTCCCTGCTATACCAACATTTTCCATGAAGCACTGTCTAAAATAATGGAAACTCCCGGTTTTCCAACAATTTCAGAGCAGCCAGCTAGTTACAATAATGCAAACAATCCCATTATTAGAAATTTACATCTTTTCTTTTTTAAGTGGACGAGCTTCACAGAACAAAAACATTAACATGTTCATTCCCCTGTGTCATTGAACATTGGAGAAGAGATTTAAATATCTTGTGGGGTTTCCCTTTTGAACAACACTAAAGCAGGAAGAAGTTAGAAGGATGCTGTTTTTTCCTCATATACCTGTCATTCAGAGGACCTAAATATATTGTTCATTTCTATAGACATTATTCATAGTCCTAAATTAGTAGACTCTAGCACTTTGAATAAACATTTAAAAGACCTACTTTGTTTTCTAATCCTTCTTAAATTACATATTATTTTTAGAGATTGTTTATTTTTATTGAAAAGGCAGAAGTACAGAGAGAAGAAGAGATGGAAAGATCTTCAATCTGCTGGTTTATTCTCAAATGGTCACAATGACCTGAGTTGAGCCAATCTGAGGCCAGGAGCTTCTTCTGGGTCTCCTGCGCGGGTGCAGGGTCCCAAAGCTTTGGCCCATCTTCAATTGTTTTCCCAGACTATAAGCAAGAATCTGGAAGAGACGTGGAGCAGCCAGGACATGGACTGATGCCCACATAGCATCCCAGTGGTTGCAAGGTGAGGATTTAGCCATTGAGCCACCCTTTGGGCCCTTAAATTACATTTACTAAATTAACAGAAGAATGCAAAGGGTTTTTAAAATTGGAGGCTGCCTATTGAATATTAGACATTATTTCAGTTTATGGATCATTGTTGCCAAACAGGGAACTATCATGTATGTGAGGACTGATGAAGAAAACAGAGTTTTACAATTCAGAGCTGATGTTGTGACCCAACTTGTCTAGCTTCTGGTTGCAGTGCTGTCAGCCCATAATGAAAAGCAGCTGTTGTCCTGAGTGCTCCACTTCAGATTCAGCTCTCTCCGAATGCTCCTAATGGAAAAGCAATGGAAGATGCCCAAAGTACTCAAACCCTTGTCATCCACACTAAAGACCAAAATGGAGTTTCTCGTTGATGGCTTTGGCCTGGCCCAGACCTGGTTGTTGTGGCCATTTGTGGAGTGAGATCTGGTTCTTGTGACCATCTGTGGAGTGAATCAGTATTTGGAAGCTTCAATAGAAACTGATGTTTCTTTGTCCCTCTGTTATTCTGCCTTTCAAATACATAAATGTTTTGTTGTTGTTGTTGTTTGTTTTTAAGAAATCTGATATTCTGAAGCTAACAGAATAAGAAATCTGCACTTGGCATCTAGACCAGGACTCTAGCTCCCAATTTCTTGTGATAACCAACAAATTCTGACTGCATGTCCTAAAACCAAGTCTGAGCAACATAGATTTAGTGACAAACTGTGACAAAAAGGTACAGAGCAAGCACTCAGGTGAACATGAATAATTTAAATTTATACCCATTTTTTTAGTATCACTAACAGAAAACACCCCAAAGCCTACAGCCACCAATGTAGGGCTCGCAGAAGATCAGGCACTGCTTTGCAGTATGACAGCTCCTGTCATCTTGTCAGAAGTGAGTGTCTGCTGCCTTGTCCAGTGATCTGAGCTGTGTTCACTCACTTCTCTATTTTGCTCCATGGCAATGACATATTATAGCGTATTCCCAGTTTACTTCTAACTAGAGAAAATGTGTTTAGGTTAATCGTTGACTATGAGTACCCCTGCCACTCACAGTTCATGCCATCTTCCTCTGGGCACTTGCCAGCTATGTTAACCACTGAATATATGCTTTGGCCTAGAGACATCTCACTGAAATAAACTGAGCCTGGAAACATGAAGTTCCATGGTATAAAACATAAACTCTCAAACTTGGGTGTACATTTGGGAAATAAACTACTGGATGGCAATACTCTCCTTCTCTCTCTCTCTAGTTCTATCTTTCAAATTAAGAAAAATAAAGTGGAGCTGGGATTTGAATCGTCACTGTAGATGGATCAGAGGCATCTTAAGAGGTGTCTTAACCACTGAGCCAAAGGCCCCACATCTGAAAGTCCTTCCAGAACAATGTCATCAGAATTAGGAATCTTTATTAACTTTCACTAGAATCCACATTGAAAAAAGAACTGCATGTTCTATTGCTAACATTTGAATCCCCTTAGGTTTTCTAGAAATCTGGGCTATAGTGACGCTCAGATTAAAAGTTGCTTTATATAAGTGGCATTTTCTCCTGATAAGCTTAGTAAACACAGAAACAACCCACAGCAAAGAGAGTCCAAAATTAAGGAGCATCCTAGAAAAGTCATATCTTGCTTAAATTTTCCACATACCATCACTTACAATAGCTTACAGTATCATTTGTCAGCCAGGTCGGAATTTTAGACAACATCCTTGCATAAATCCAGCACTGCAAAACTGGAACTAACACAGTTTTCTAGCAAGGACTGAATTCATCAGAATCATGTGTTGAACAGACTCTCAACAATAACACAGGTTCATTTGTCCATTTAACAAATATTTACCAAGCAGCTTCAAGCGGCAGCTGTTGCCTGTACTGAATTTAGCATCGAAGAAACAATGAAAACACTTGCTCTTAAGGAATTTATTAGGAGTAGGCTCAAAGAGTGATAATGCCATATAATGCAACTGCTAGAGCAGAAGCCTACACAGGAGGGTGCCACAGGACAAGTGCCTCAAGGAAGGTTGGAAAGCAAGTGTTCAGAGAGCGTTTGAGTAATGGGTAGACTGTCACCAAGCAGGTGATGGCTAACACAGGTAATACCTTGGACACAGGGTCCGGCTACACACAGAGGCCTGGGAGAACACGGTGCACAGGGGAAAGAAGAAAAGTCCTAATGGAACCTGAATAGGCATGACTTCAACTGGCTCAGCCTGAGCCTTGCTGAAGTGTCTAATATACAGAATCCAATTCATTCCTACAATGCTAGCCTGTCTCCTGAAATACACAGTGACCTAGAAGCTCTGAATAGAAAACAACTACAGGCAGCAGACTACAGAGTGGCCTACTGACACTAACCAGTGTGACAGACAACTGGGGAATCTTGTTATCTGGATGAGTGTCTCAGAACTCAGTGTTTAGAAACTGACGATGCTTTCCTTGAAGAGACACTGAAAAATTGCAAGGCATTATAGTAAGGAATAAAAGGGTCTTTGATGGCTTCAAATAATTTCAAGGAAGCATGGGCTTATTTGCACCATCAAACTTTAAAGCCCATGTGGTGTCTGCCGAGGAGATTCTCCACTTGAAACACACGGCTTGACTTCTTGCTGTCGTCTCCTCCCTTGAGAATTCATTGCCTACTGGGGGGTCACTGCCTGAGTGGTCGTGCAAGTTAATGTAGGCACTTTACGAGTTACTGGGCATGTGAACACAGTCCAAATGTGGTCAAGTGACCTCTGCCTTGATTTCTCACAGCAAAGCTGAAACTAAGTTAGAAATGGAAAGAGATTTTCTTAAGGCTTGAGGAGTCAAACAAATGACAGTGGCAAACTAAGTTATATTGAGGTACAGTATTCATTCGTGTAAGTAACCTTATTGATCTTCCACCGATTATCAGATTTCTTTTATACATACAGCATATTAGTTATTGCACAATACATTTACCTCAGTGCATGCTTTTTAAGGCAGCATATCAGAACTCAGAAAGGGGATTGTTTGAAGACTTCCCTCTCACAACAATTCATCTTGCAACTGCCACCTGGAATTACCACAAGCCTTAAAATGCTGTCTTCCTCTAAACTCAGACAGCAAGCACAGGAGAAGTATCTGTCTATTTCTTATCTGAGTACCTATTTCTTTGCTGATAATCTCAAAACTCTATTCTGATTTGCATATCTTAAAATCCTAGCCAGAAAACTATGGTGCCAACACGTTATTAGTAAGACATTCGGCTCTCAACACTACACCAAAAGAGAACATCTCATAAGAGACCCTGCTCATCAAGCAGAACCCAGTAATTACAAAACACCCATGAGAAAATTCAAAATATTCTCTGTGATCAGGAAAGAAGGGGTTTCAGCCTGGATGTAGTTATGAATTCTTCCTGATTAGAACTTTTTGAAAGTAGAAGGAAATGATCTTGTAAGTGGCAAGTCCGTTAAGAACACAGTATGGAGAATTTGAATGGCCCATGTATAGGCAGATTTTAGTGATTTGTGCATTGTGTATGCACCTCCAGTATGTTTACCCACCAATCTAGGAGGGTCAATACTGAAATTTCAGGCTAAAGAGGGTTGTTAGATAAGAAACGCAAAGCTTAAAGTCCTCTTCCATACTAACTAAGCAACTTCCACACTAAATAAAAATGGGTCCCAGACTGGGATTTTTGTCTGACTGGTCATCAGAAAGAAATGAAAAATGATTTTTCACTTGTCTCTTTTGCTAAAGACCCCAAGAGAAAACATCATGAAATGAAAAAACAAATAGTTCTCGATACCATTTCAGGTTAACTATGGTAGCAATATGCCTTATTATCGCCATCATAGTTTTTTTTTTTTCCATTTATATAACAGATGATTTCAACAGAAGCCTGTTAGAAGCTCAAGTACAAGAAAATCTCTGAAACTATAATGGCTAATTTATGCATCAAGAAAGCAAAGAGACC